GGAAAGTCCCCTGCAATATAGAACATTATCTTTTATGTGGAGCGCCATTTTAAGATGTTGAAATGCTACCTTCAAGAGAACGATTCAAGAGGGACCAATGGACTACAAATGATAGAAACATGAGCTATTTCTCCATGAAAGTCTATTCTGATTTTGCAAGAGATAAGAGATTGTAGTTTCCTAAACACGGGGCTGAGATTCAAGGTTTGAAAACGCCAAAGAATCAACGCTTGATTTTATGCACCATATTTAGTAAACATAGTGCCAAGGGCTTTTAGTGTCAAAGCACGATGTGAAATACTATCACATGTAAGTACATAAGAATACTTACTAGAACGTTAGGTTAGTGCACATTTTTGTAAATTTCTTTTTATAACGTATTACAGGGCGGCCAAGATAAGCATCAGACTAGGTTAAATTCAGTAATCACACAATCTTACATCAAGCCATTTGTTTGCAACGCCTACTATTTTATAAATAAAATGAAAACATGGAAAAAAACACAGTTGTCTATAACTAAAAAAGAACACACCGATACATCGTTGAAGTTATAAAATTATAAATAATCTACTAAAAAGTAACATAAATATTAGGTTCTACCATAACGTGCATGATCACCAAACAAGATCACTAAATAATGATTATCAAATTTCCACAAGAACTAACATAGGTTTAAAAAATCCGATCACAGACGCAATTAAGAAATTTAATAATTTACCTCATTGTATAAAAGATTCAAATAACTATAGAAGTTTTGTTAGAGAATTAAAAGATTGTAAAAATGTTAATGAATTTATTTGTTGAAATTATGAGCAACATTGCAGTGTACCTGTAGTTCATAGATATTGATTATTGTCTTGTTATTCTCGGGGCCAGTGTTTGCAAACACTGATTAGGGAATTATTGTTAAAACTGGTTATACTTTTTGTATTATTGTGTTGTGTAAATAAATTATTTCAAAAAAAAAAGTCGTGGAAAAAGATTCTATCAGATACAGGGTGGTACTTTTTTGGATCATATAAAAAAGTTGATGAAGACGAAACGTCTGACACAAAGTTTATGGCATTGTGCGCAATTTATTTAAAAAAATATAGGATGTCAACCCTAACACACAAATAAATGAGAATAATACAGGGCTCACCAAGTTTGCTGCTCAAGTATCCTGTTTCTCTCAGAGGTTTGGAAGTAATCCTAATTTCCACTTTGGATACACTTAACAGCCACTTCACAACACTAATACACCACTGAGAGACACTCGAGAACCCTATAGTGAACACCACTACTGAAAAAAGGTAGCTAAACCGAATACAGTCCCGCACGGAACTGTGTACGCGTGGACATCCCGCTTCGCCGACGGTTGCCAAGAAACTGAAGCGTGTGCTGTACCTCGCTGCGCCGATACGGTACGGCCGGGGGTAGTAAAGCCACGCCCGTTTCCAGTTCCCACTCCGCGCGTCTGCTCATGCCGCTCGTGGTTAATGTAAGCATCCAGTCGCTTCGTGATATAGTCAGATAAGAAAAATGAAAAAAAAAACAAAACAACTTTCTTACTACGATCTTGGTAGTGCCCGGTCTAGACGTAACATTTTACCTTACGTCTTTTTTTTGAAATAATTTATTTAAACACAATAATACAAAATGTATAACCAGTTTTAACAATAATTCCCCAATCAGTGCTTGCAAACACTGGCCCCGAGAATAGCAAAACAATAATCAATATCTATGAACTACAGGTACACTGCAATGTTGCTCATAATTTCAACAAATAAATTCATTAACATTTTTAAAATCTTTCAATTCTCTAACAAAACTTCTATACTTATTTGAATATTTTATACAATGAGGTAAATTATTAAATTTTTTAATGACTGTTCAGTCAGCACGCATCAAGTAAAGCATTGTGTGCAGACTGAAGAACTGTTTTAAGACGGAAGACCGTCCGTTTTGAACTGTTGACTTAGCTCATTTTGTGTTGGCAAATGTAGCCGGTCCCTACGTATTTAAAAACAATTCGGACTTAGACAATGGTCCCGTGATTTGTACACAGAATTCATGGAGCTGTATCGAAATTTCCCATGTCTATGGAAAGTTAAAACAAGCGATTATAGTGACAGAGAAGAAAAATCAAGCATATGCTGTTTTGGTTAAGAAATGCCAGGAGGTGGATTGTGCTGCGGCTAAGGATACTGTAACTAAAAAAATATTCTTTTCGATCGGTTTATCGGAAGGAGTTACAAAAAGTAAAAAAAAAATCAGAACAATATGGTGCGGGTACGGATGACATTTATAAGCCATCACTTTGGTATTTTGACCTGCTTTCATTTCTAAGTGATCAACAAACTCCAAAGACAATGACCAGCAACACAGAGAATAACAATTTACAACAGCAAGAGGTAAGCTTAAGTTCATTTTATTTCTATGCTTGTACATGTATAAATTATAGGCCCAAGTTTCGTTTAGCGGAAATCACAAACAAAATTAGTTTACAGAATGATTCTAACACTAGTTACACAAATTATTCTTATTCTGAAGCTCTTGGCCAATTAATTACTAGTTTTAACGGAAAATCATCTTAATTTAGATATATTTATTGAAAGTACGTCGGTATTAATAACTTGAGTTTTCCACTTAGTGCTTGTTTTGATATTATGGTGCTGAATTCAAGATCTTTGTAACTCCTTCCTGTTGCTAAGAACCGTAATGTAGCTGTTAATCTTTAACTTGGGGCGAAATTGCCTTTTTCATGTGAGTGTTTTGTTCCTGTATGTGTGGAGTCACGCAGTAGATACATATATGTTTCCATATCCATTCTTAAGTAATTACGTAAATCTTCAGGTTCGTCACGTAATTATCCCAGTAAACTTAAGTGGGAGAACCTTCCTCTTATCAGCATCTACGCTCTTGGCGATCGTGAACGTCGAGAAGTCTTTCTTTTCAATTTCACTAAACACAGCGCTATTGACAAAAGCAGTGCTTCCTCCATGGTCTACCAAAACTGATCTAAAAACGTACCTTAAAACTTTCAAGTGTGTACTCTAATCTTTCAACTATCATACTTGACCCTTTTGTATGACAGGCAAGACGTAAGGTAAAATGTTATGTGTAGACCGGGCTTAACTCATTGAAAATTATGGTAATCATAGCAAATTTCCCCGAAATAATTGTAAAGTCGGGTTTTAGTAATGCAAGTTCTTCAAGGGGGTATTTAAAACATGGACGCATAAAATGGGTACACCAATTTTAGTGGGAAACTGGATTACGTGACCTACTTATTTGACAAAGTCATGCAGTCATCAATAATGCAGCCATTTAGCATATGCTACATACTAACTAGTCTAAGAATTGTCTTCAGTTTGCCTGCTAACTTTATAAACAGTTAGCGCATTTCAGTATGGAGATATTTTTTTCATAAACTTTAAGGCCCATCTGTGACCGTGTAAAAATACCAGCTCTAAATATGCATACACAAGAGCATGAAAAAATCTTGAAAAAAAATTCTTTTGTTCATAAAAAAGGTGATACACATCCGCTTTGTTTTGAAATGTGTATAATAATGTATGTTTTTCGAATATCGTAGGGAATCTGTTCAGTAATTCACGTAAACGAAATGTTTGAATTTTTTTAGAATAAAAAAACGTAACCCTGTGTTTTTCGCATAAAAATAATCATTATCTTTCGTTTGTGATTCACGTCGACAAGGTAAATTCGTGCATTTTGCTATAAAACGCCCTTTGAACGAACACTGTATATTGCTCAGAAAACTAGTAGTGATGGCCGGAAGAGAGGTGTTTCGGGATAAACAATTAGAAATTCTCAAAAACTACTTGACCAATATACTCCAATTTTGTTGTTGTTATTTATAGGTATGAAGTTTACGGATTTGGAAATTTTCAAGTAGCTCCGTGAAATTACCGTAGCATTAGCAACAAGTGTCAAAACCTGCAATTTGCCTCGATTTTTGGCCATAACTTTTTTACTATTAGTGGTATATTTTCACGTGTGGTCTCATTCTGTAGGTATCAGAAATCCCTAAAAATCTTATTTAAAGAGTTGTTCCGTTTCTGTCAACACTTTCAACTGAATCCAAAAAAAAAGAAAACGGGTTTTCTCATTCTTTGTTATCGAATAAAAAGTTTTGTCACAAAAATTGGTGTACCCATTTTATGCGTCCATGTTTTGATCAACTTGCAGGGGTATTTTTGTCTAATGTGATTAGACTAAATGCGCTTGTAGCTTTTTAAACTGAAATATATTTATAGCTTTAAATAGAAGAGACCTACTTTGGTTTCAAAAAATTTATTTATTCATCAGTGAAAAAGATTAATTTGTCATATTAACTTTTTATTATTAAACGTTTATTAGCTAGCAGCATAGGGTCGACCTACTTAATATCATATTCGAAAGATCCTGCATTCAATTTGTATGTTTCATAACATTATCACCAAACAAACTCCTGCTTATCCGTATAACAAAATTGGTTACAGAACGGACGTCCACACTCGCAGCCTGCCTCACAGACATTTCATTTCTACTTCTAGATTCTGTACTTCGTTTTTCAGAGGTTCTTTCTCTTTCAATGTCAACGGCTCTATAATGAGGTACCGATTTCATATTGTTGTGTCTATGAATTTATTTAAAAAAGTAATGAAGCGTTTTCCATTGTCTGATGACTGTATAATTTGAAACGTACAGAATTAACTAATTTTTGTGTACCTATACAATAGTTCGTTGCTGTTTCACTCTTTTTGGATCAAGTTTTTTGCTTGTAAGGTATCACGGCAAAGGTCTACTGTATTTTTTTTCGTTTGAATGCAAAAGCGGATCTTTCTATACAGTAGTAAGATGCGAGTTCTGCCGTTTGTCAGGTAAGCAGCTAGAATTTGTTCAAATTCCATGTAATTTTTATTGACGAAGCAGTTTATGACATTGACAGATCACCTTTGTGATTGGAACGTAGTAAAGAATATTCTGTGTGGCTTAATTGGCTAGACATGCATGTGGGAATATCGACATGTAAACCACGAGATATGTTTCAGCTATTACATTATATTTAATTACGTCGCATTGACAAATGTGAAAGGTGCCTTAGGATCTAGTCTGTAATCCATACCTTACGACTAACCGGTGTCGTTAAAAATCACCTATGTGTTATTTTTGTCAATGTCATTCTGTGACGTTTTGTGTGTATTGAAGGAATAATAAGAATGATAAAACGCAAAAAACATTTAGCTGTTTTGTGAAAGAAATTGTAATCCTTTTTTACGATGGGCGATAAGAAATCTTGTGAATAGAAACGCTTGGAGAGTATATCAAGGCTTCTAACTAGTTATAAGAAGGCTTTTTCAACAGCAACAAGAGCTAATAGCAAGAATTCCGATAAGTGAATTTAAGAAAACAAAATGGCGTTAACGTTTTCAGGTGGATTTATGGATTTTAGATATTTCAAATAAGTACAATACATCCAGACGACACTGAATTCGTGCTCACCAATATTGAAATTTAAATACAATAAACAAAAGCTGAAAATGATTGCACAAGAGCCTGTCCAGGTACCAGTTTCATTATCAAATAACAGACTTCTAATAATTTGTAATGTTTCTAATAATTTGTAATGTTTTGCTTCTAGGCTGCCATTTGGCATTGTTTGAATCATTATGATTACGCTGATGCCGTTTTCTTATCTCAACGTTTATATGCGGAAGGTAAGCAGATTTTAAGTTTCCAATTGAGCTGCTGGAGTATTAGAAGCTGCAATCATATACTTGCACATTCTCATACTACTACATGCTACTGAAACATTTGTGCATACATTTTCTTTTCGAACTGATGTGTTTCAGAGATTTGTTTTCCTGTTTGTATTAATATACTTTGCTAGCCTTCAAAATATATTAATAACTAATAATTTGTTTGTATATGTCTTGATAGTTTAGTGTACTCAGGTTTACAGTGTTTGTGATCTTACATTCATGCACTTTAGACACTAGACTGTAGGTCAAGGCTATGCCATTTCAGGCCCTGCTTGGCAGAAATGTCATGGTCAAATCGCCAACAACCAAGGGTGAAAAGCAAACACGTGTAAGGGTCTGTGAAGATCCAATCCTGTGGAATTGTATATATTGGGGCTCCTTGCCTCCTAGAGCTTGACTCACAGTTTATCCACGTCATTTTACAACTCCTCTTTGGTGTCACTATGGCATTAGGGAGGGCTCCTAAGGTTAATGCCTGATTTACCATTAATGCTGCCTTTAAAAATTTTGTAACAGCAAGGACAATTTGTATCTCTTTTGAATAAAAAAAAATGTATAATAGTAAAAGGCTATCTGAAGAGCTTTTTCACTTTTACCAATTCTCTTCAGTTCACTACACCACCATTTTATCTATGATATAAATTTAATCTAATAATGTATCACTTCTGCTTCTTTTTGTGTATATGTTTCTTTTTACTTGAAGAATGTTGCTTAAAATATGTTTCAAATATCTTAGATTGATGATAAAATTTGTTAAAATAACTTTTTAATATTTGTTTAGTTACAGAATAGTTTTAGAATTATGATTTTACTTTTCTATGTTTATGGATCTAGAAACATGATATTTTATGCTGATGAAACATATTTTATTCTAGTTAAAACAGATGAAAGTTTATATCTATTAGCTACTGCTTACTTCAGAAGTGGCCTGAAAGATCATGCTTATTTTATACTAAAGGATAGAACAGGAACTTCTCCAAAATGTCGATACTTGTTTGGAATTTGTGCCTATGAACTTGAAAAGTAAGTATAGCTGTTTTAAAACTATATCCAAGAGAAGAAGCATTAATATTTTTCAGTTTTACCTAGTCATTTTAATTTAGAGTTCAATTTTTATGAAAACTTGTTATTTAATGACAGCTAATAAAAAGCCTATTCTTTTAATTTTTGGTTTCAACATTCATTTGAAACATGGTTATATTTCAGATATGCTGAGGCTGAAGCTGCTCTGTTAGGATCTAATAGCACACCGGATGACGAATTTATCAAAGAGTATGATGAACAGGCTTGCTTTGTATGGGTTTTGCTTGGTAGAATTGCAGCCAAAACTGAACGGAAGTCTCTTGCAATAGAAGCATGGAAGAAAGCACTCAAACTAAATCCCTTTTTGTGGACTAGCTTTGAACTTCTGTGTGAAATTGGTGATAAGCCTAATCCACAAAATATTTTTCAAATTACTAGTATGGATAACCTCTCAATGTGCCAAGGTAATAATCTTTTCAACATTTCACATTATTGTTATTATTAGCACTACAACAGTAGGTGGAAAAGTCTGATGACACTTGTGTAAAGCCATTTTTTTATGCTGTATAATGTAGATGCAGATATTATAGATAGACATATGAGGTTTGTCCGGAAGATACATATAAAAAATTCGAGGCGTCGTGTCAAGGCGTTGTTGAGGGGTGGCCTAGTGGTTCCCTCTCTCTATACAATCCCTTCTATGCTCAGCTCGAGCCACAGCACTCTGCGAGTAAGGAGTATTTATGAGTGCTTGTGTAAAGTAACACTTTTTTTACTTGCTGTTGGCATGGAGCTCTGTCTGATTGAGGAACAGTGCATCAACATCAAGTTTCTTGCAAAGCTAGGCAAGAATGGCCATGAGATTTTTGAGTGTTTGGAATAAGTTTATGGAGGCAATTCTTTGAAGGAACCAACTGTCAACATGTGGTTGAAAAGGTTCCACATCGAGCTCTGAGGCTGTGTTCTTAAAGACCGTCGATTGACAGTTAGAATGATAGCTGAGGAACTGTTAATCTCCAAAAAAATCGTCCACAAATTCTGACAGAAAAACTTGAAAAGAAAAAGTTGTGGTTCGCGAAAATCGTTCCAAAGCTCTTGACTCTAGAACAGAAAGCAAGGAGGGTTGCTTGCTGTAAGGATCAGTTGGAAGCAGGGGAAAGGGGGGACTTTCTCAACTAGGTCATCACTGGTCTTGGTTATACAAATTTGATGTGGAGCTGAAATCTCAAAGCATGGAGTGGAAGCAAGCAAAAAAAGACGAACAAAGAACAAAAAAGTCGAAAAATTAAGGTCCAATGAAAGTTGATTGTTTTTTTCGATTCTCGGGGCATTGTTCACCAGGAAATTGTCCCTTCCAGCCAGACAGTGAACGGAAATTTCTACATTGGAGTTTTGCCTCATCTCAGAGTTCGACCGGATTTGGCACCAGGGGGCAGGAGGATGCAACATCAAGACTACGCGCCTGCTCACACGTCTCTCGTTGTGCGTGAGTTGTTGGCCCGAAGCTCAATCACCATGACAGAACACCCGCCTTATTCACCCAATTCAGCCCTTGCGACTTCTTCCTGTTCCCAAATGCAAAATGGTACTTCAGGGCGGCACTTGGGGGATGTGGAAGCCATGAAGGCAGAAACGACATGGCAAATGAAGAGCCTCACAATTGAAGACTTTCAGCGATCGTATCAACAGTGGAAATGGCGTTGGCTGAAGTGCATGTCTTCTCAGGGGGAGTACTTTGAAGGAGCCCATATTGAAATACCCGAACAATTGTAAAATGAAGTTATTATTTCACTTATATACATATTTTCCGGACAAATCTTGTGTAACTGATCTTGAAGCTTTTTTGAGTTGGATCCTTCTGTTGTTCCAAGTAATGTCTACACTAATATAATTTGATGTTTTATTTAAAAAATTCATAGATTGATATGATTTGAAACCCAGGTAGTCAATTTGATCTTCCATTTTTGTCTTGCTAATAAATAAAACAAAAAGGAATGCTTTAGAAAAGGACATAGACATACATTAAAAAGGTAATAAAGTAGTTCCTGTGGCTCATTCGAACAACCTAGTTGTTGTAATGATGATCTCAGTGCTACGCTATTCTCAGAGTTTTAATTGCAAATAAGGCATTACATAAATGAAAGCAATTGTGTGAATCTTTCTTGTTTTAAAAAATATCATATTGCTTAGTGGCTTACTATCCCTATTTAGATATAACAAGAAATCATATTGACAGTATTATGAATACATGTTGCAGACTCAGAAAATATGATGAACTGTATAAATACCAGCTCCTAAGGTTCTTTATTCAAAAAGTCATGTTCAGTAACTAAATTAATATGTACAGGGAATATGCATGGCATTAATATTAGATATATAGAGACTTTTTCAATTCCATGCCACAGCACATGTTTATTTCAGAATACATATATTTACAATGCGATTAAATATAATTCTTTAGGCCATGGTTTAAAAGAAATCAATTCATTACCCAAATTCAACAAAAAAGTGAAAGAAATTCTACTAGATCATCAGTGAAATCTGTTTTAACCCATAAGTGTTAACTGACATGTTTTCCTTATGCCGTTACATAGATTATACTTTATTTTGTCATTATTGTATACAGGCATTAACCGTCATTCATTTTTTATACATCTCGTATTGTTAAGGGGGTTAGGTAGTTGAATAGATATATAGTTGTAGTCACCATTCTTGTCTGGTCAAAGTAAGCCTACCAGTATCCCTTTATATATCTCCATTTCCCTCATACATACACATGCAAGCCACCCCTGTGTGTGAACGTTTGTTCGGTAAGCTCAAAGACATATGTCTTTTAGTTTTACATATGAGGCCCTTCACTCATATTTGTCAGAGTGACAACTTACTTGATATCAGCGTGCAAGAAGGCCGACAGCTCGTGCTAAATTTATTAGAGTATTTCCAGGAAGAGAATAAAAACAGCGGTCCCCTGTTACCCAGTTCATGCGTACTGGAGAGAGTAGCAGATGCGCTGAAGATTAATATCCGCCTATGGTACAGAGACTTGATCTGTTTACTTACTTCATATGGCGTTGATGACGTAACAACTAAGAACGGTGACTGCAACTATAGTATCTAAATCTCGCCTCCTGTACTACTATTACAAATAAAAAAGGCGTTAATTATTATTCTTATTATGACTATTATTATTAATTCATTTTGCACCACTGAGACCAGTACTCTCAAAGAGTTTCCTTTTTACAATACAGGGTAACCTTTTACAAAATAACTAAGTTTGAAATTACAAAGTCAATGTGCAGTAAAACAGCTGTGGAAGTGTAGAAAACAAACTAAACAAAAATACTCAATATTGATTTGGTAAGATACTTCAAGTGTTACCCTGTTACACATTGCTTGTAAATAGTGTTTGTAGCTGTTGTGATTTGACTCAAAAACTCAGATTTATTAGCTTCTTCCCAAACCAACAGAACACTCGATAAACGACTTGAACACTCTCAAAAAGTATCAATAGCATCATGGAGACACTCACTGTAAATATCTAATAACTTATCACTGCTATAGGAATGTGTCAATATTGTTTTTTCATATCTGACTTGTAAATAGGTTAACCTATACACCATGTGGCGCTTGATTTGGATACTGATGCACATCGTACTTGTCATACCTTTCCATATTTTGATGCTTTGGTGTATGTATTACTAGGAAATTTTTGTAATCTTTGCATGACTCTGTAAAGGAGTGATTATATATATTTTTTAAGCTAATGGACTGAACAGTGCTGAAAGTATCATAGTCACCAAAGATGCTCTTAATACAGAAGTAGACAACCAGGAGTTCCTGAGTCCATATAAAATACGTTACATGCCAGATCCAAAAATTCTGTTCACTCCTGATGTGAAAATGTGTACACCTGAAAGCCCTCTGGCGCTACCACTCAGTGCTTGGACAGCATCCAATAGCAAATTCAGACAGACTCTGCCAAACTTGGATGATGATTTTTCTGTGAGTAGTATAATTGTGTGTTGAATGATACGAGTTGAATTTTCACTATTTCATCACTCCATGTTTTCGTAAACTCCATTTTTATCCGAGTTTCTTTCATAATTTTTCAGCCAAATTTTGGTCAGTTGTACAGTGTGATCGCCGATACTACGAACTCAAATTCAACAACAACTCCAACCCTCACAGAGTCCAACAATCATCATCAATCACTTGCCAAAAGGGTCCGAGCCCAAGTGGACCAGTTTATTGGTAGAAAGGAGTCAATATTTCAGAATTGTAAGCCAGTATTTAGCCAGTCTTCTAATGTTCCTGTGAATAAAACGCCAAATCCACTATTTGTAAGTACCATGTCGATGGCCTAGTGACAATACACATACAATATACAAGTCAACCTCTGAAAATGCACAGAAAAATATCTCTCTATGATCAACCAAAAAAGTATACTTGTTGTTATCTATCTGGCACAATATTTACGTTTTCCAAAGACTTTATGACAAATTAGAATAAAAAGCTCGCTGCTAGTTGCTAGATGCTATGGTTGGACCTATGATGGAACCTGTTGCTAGGATAAAAAATAGACATCCATGTAGAGAAAAAACTTCGTTTATATTCGCATCATAAAGCTTTTGTTCTACCGGAAGTATTTATTAAAGATTTTCGTGATAGTTGTTTTCTTCCCAATTCCCAATTGCGTACGAAGTAAAAGTTCCATAACCACTGTTCATAATTTTAACATTCGGCATTGGTTTCTATTGTTCTAGGTACAGTCTGGTCAAAATCAGAATCAGAACGTAAGACGTAGCACTAGGTTATTTAGCAGCAACTATTCAGTAAAAGAAAACAACAAATCGCCGAATAGAAACAAATTCCCCGTATCCAGCCCGCGGAAAAGTATCAAAACAAAACGGCTGACAAAATGCGACCTAAACAAGAACAACAACTATTCAGAGTTGAACACCCGAAATAAATTGGAGAAAGAAAAGAGCGAGACGGTGACGTCTGAGAAGAAGGACGACAATAGCATGAACGTCAGTGCGGAAGAGTGCATGCAACAGGTGATTGCCTTGCAGAAACACAGTGCAGATGGTGAGTGTGGTTTTGTTCATGAAATAAATTTTTCTATTGACATAGTTACAAATTTTGGACATCTTAGAATTGACTAGAAATTTGTTCAACATCCTAGGTCTTCAGAAATCAAGACATGCATATAGAATACAAAAAATAAATGTCACAAGTTCGTATAAAAAATGCTTGTCGGGGGTTTTCTTAAATAATGTTTGAATGATACTTTATAGTTCAACTAAATTGTGACAGGGTAGTGAGCATTTGGAGCTTCACATGGTTTTGAAGAAAGCCACGAACTCATCTTTTGACCAGTTTTGAAAATATGTCTAATCTTTTTTTACACCGAAGTAGCCGCGCTGGCAGAAGCCTAAATTATACAAGGACACCGCGGCTGCTATGAAGATATCAAAGCAATGTTGCTAATTTGATTTTTGAACTGCCTAAGGTTAGTAGAACTGGGAAAAGCCTCCTCTTGTATATCGATCCACATTCTCGACACCCTCGAGACAAAGGAGCGGAGCCAAAATGGGCGGCTCTTTGGCAGAACTCGGCCGTCCATCGAAACCGGATAAGCGCTAGGACGTTTTTTGTTCGTCAAGGTACAGTACCGTGTTTTGGAAGCATTAAACTGTACAAGATTGTTGCCTCCCAAGCAGTGATAACCCCCAGGTCTCTCGTCAGAGAGGAAGTCGCTGCTAGTCTTCTTTGTTCTAGCTCACCGGCAGAGATCGGCTTGTCGCTCTGAATTTCTGCATGTAGAGTGCTGTAATCAGCAAAGCTATGAATTGGATTGATCGTACAGGAAAGAAGGTCGTTGATATCCAAGACGAACAGTGTCGGAGCCAAGACCGATCCCAGGGGAACACCCGCGGCGCTGACGTTGTGGGATGAAGAGGAGAACCCGTCAATTACGACGGATATCTTGCGGCCAGAGACAAAGTCATCCAACCATCTGCAAAGCTTCTCTGGGAGGCCATAGGATGGAAGTTTGCATAAGAGGGCAGCATGCCTCACCTGTTCGAATGCTTGAGTGGTAGAAGGCTACTCTGTGAGAAGTTCCTTTCAATCTGCTTGGCTAGCGTCCAGAAAGACCGACTGCATTACCCTGTGCCTAACTCTTATATCATACTGGTCTTTGGCATTGCGGACCGACAAAAGCCACAACTCCCCCATTATTTCTTAGTTTGAAGGGCACCTCAATTTGGAAGCTAAGATGATTAATCGGTGCAGAATCTGAGATTTTTTTCTCCGGCAAAAAAGCATGACGGGACGATTATATTGCAGGTAGTGATGAACAGCACCAATGTTGCTGTTAATCTCGCAGATGTTCCTGAAACAAATTTTATCATCTATGTTATTCCCTCGAGCCCACCCTCCACCCGGACAATCCGAGAATGGAGTGAGTTTAGGTCCGGAATTTTTTGTACTCGAGGGATCCATCATCATTAATTTCTTTGTTGCGGACATTCTTAAGACACCCTGGAAAAAGCTAGCGGGCGGTACAGCCTCGGTCGACTGGTCCTTGTCTATTACCTTCTTTTTGCGTGTTAATGATGTTAAATTCAACTAAAGTGGTCCGTTGGCAAACTTATATCGCCACCCGTACGGAATTACGTATCTTGAAAAGTGATATTTTGTCGCTTTTTTACATTTAATAGGTTTTTTGTGACATAGCGCAGGTTTTTCTATAAGATGTCAATTTAGCTCTAGCTGTTGTTGTTCACTTACTGTGAACTCGTTTTGTATCTGTACTTGTTGCACGTCATGATGCTTCAGCTATCAATGTTTGGATTGGATGTGATGTAACATCTGCTGCAGATATGGCATTATTGGAGGTCTAAGCTGTAAGTTGCATACTATAGCTGTAAGGAAATGGCAGTGCAAAGGTGCATAGTGAGGATTTGTGTGCTAGTAATATGTATTGTTGAAAATTCCATTGGTTTCTTGTCTCAAATACAATTACTTGAGATGTATTCAAAGCTACAAATTAGTTGCGCATCCACTTTTTCTTATTTATTCCGTAAATTTGTTTCAAAAATGAGAGGGATAAGAAAAGAAAATCGCTGGTTGGTGTAGTAATTAACTTTATGTGGAATCTTATATTTTATTCTTACATTCTGCCTCATACTGCAATTATATTTACTGTATACTGTCGAATTACAAGTTATACACAAAGCGGGCACTGTGGTGATTTCCCGTAATTCTCCTCAAAGTTTTTGAAAACACACACAAAAATCAGAAAAAAATAACTAAATAACCCATCGGGGCACAGTTAATAGATATACTTCATTGGCAGCATATTCAGTCACAATATTCTCACAGCAAATATCACTGATTTTATTCACATAATAATCCAGATGCGATCTTGCTACTCAACCAGCTTTCTTTCTTTCACATCTTCTCAGAGATAAACATTACTTGGCTTTCTGGAACCGAAAGTTTGTATTAAAAATTTGAACTTTTCTGCTGAATTTAGCCTGTCCCTTGTGATCTAATTGAGTTAATCTTGAAAAGTTAAAAACCAAACTTCCGTAGGGTATCTCTGTACAGAAACCCCATAGAGCATTTTTGATATTAACCAGGGGAATTTCTTTGTGTTCTATATGAAAATCGATAAGATTCAAAATTTGGAAAACATCCCTAAAATTAAGGGTTTTTCGAAATTTGAACTATTAAACTGAAAATTTTCAAATAAATTTAATACATCCAAAAGCGGTTTGGAAAAAACTGTTCATTTTATATTTACTGTCTCCTTTTCAGGTCTGATGTGTTTGCTTCGCGAATTAGGACAAGCATATCTTGATCTCTCCCATTATGAGTGCAATGCTGCCATTGAACGGCTTCACCAGTTACCAAGGAATCAGTTTGATACTGCTTGGGTGCACTCGCTGATAGGTTAGTTTGATGATAAAATTAGCGTTACATTTACCAAGAACATATGTCATGATTATTATTAATCATGACACTTTCACTACTAGGTGTTGCGTACTTTGAGCTGCCCGATTACGAGATGGCGGCCAAGTACTTCGGCCTGGTGCACGACAAGGAGCCCCATCGGCTCGCCTACATGGACCTTTATTCCACAGCGCTGTGGCACCTGCAGCGCGAGGTGGCGCTATCGGCGCTGGCGCACGACCTCATCAACACCGACAGGAACTCGCCGGTGACCTGGTGTGCCAGCGGCAATTGCTTCTCCTTGCACAAGGAGCACGACACCGCCATCAAGTTTTTCCAAAGGGCTGTGCAGGTGAGATGAAATTTTATTGGGTTATTTTGGTTTTGGAACTCCACAAGGCAATGCGGTCTGATTGTCAAATTAGTCAAGAATGTGTAATGAACATTTCAAGCTGAAATACTGATTTAAGTGAACCAGTATCACTACGAGATAATAGAGCGCTGAAGGGTGACAGTTTTGCCTAGAATTTTTCTTCTCTAAAATTACCTCAGTCTACCGAGTTGCGTTTAGTCATAGCCATGTAGGACGAACATGGAAATGTTGAATTCATGAACTTCGATGTTTGAAGGAAATTTCCTGTTCTAAATCGGGTGCCTAGTTAACAAATCTGATTTTAGTTTCTTCCCACATGGCAAATTTTCTACTTCAGATAGGGCTTCGCGACTCCTCCGAGAGTCAGTTACTTCAAAAATACCACCCCAAAATACTCAAGTGTATTGAATTTCGTCCTCTCAGCATATAACAAAAAAGTGACCTGAAATCTTTCAGGCTAGTATCTACTAGCGCCATCTATGGGACAGAAGCCAGAAATTATGAGTCATAAAGTGAATTTAATTCCATTTTTTTATCATGAAGTACCATCAAGAAACTCGTAATCTTCCATTGTAGGTTCTGAATACACAGAACTAGGAACGGGTGGGTACTAGTGCTTCTTCGAATCAAGGCACTGAATGTTCCGAGAAAGAAATACAGGTATATGTTCTGAATATGAATTGAGCATTTTGCTAGAACAAAGCTACCATTGAAGAAAATTTTTTGACAATTCTTGCGTATTATCTGAAATAGCTTGTACCGAACTGAAGCTCAGAGGGGTTGGTATGGTCACAATTACGAGCTAGTTCTCTTAAAAATTGATGCATGAATGATGAAAACTGTGGGTGTCGGTGTGGTCTTTATATGTAGGGGGTGGATAGCTCTACATCGTCCAAGGTATTACCACCTAACGGATTTTGGTGGCTGACGGACTTAGAATGTGTGTACATTGGTCTAAAAATTTCAGACGGAATAAAAATCTCGTAATACATCTTCAAAAGTAGGATGATCAGATGACCATTCTCTTTCAGGTGGATCCAAATTTCCCGTACGCGTATACGTTGTTAGGCCACGAGTACATAACGACGGAAGAGCTTGACAAAGCGATGAGCTGTTTTCGAAACGCCATTCGGCTGGATCCGAGGCATTACAATGCGTGGTTCGGCATCGGAACGATATACTCCAAACAAGAGCGGTACAGTCTGGCGGAGATGAACTACCTCAAGGCTCTCTCCATCAACCCGCACAGTTCTGTGATTTTGTGTCATATAGGTGAGTACCATCTTACAAAAGGATGAAAGTATTAGTTAGCATCAATTTGGAAAGCGTCTGAATTCACAATGTACATTGTGGAATCAGTGGATGTGTCTGTCATCGTGAATGTGGCCGATACTTGTGACGTCATTTAAGACATGCAGAATGATCGTGTTGTAAGGTGGCTTTCCCAATGTCACGTTACCTATTTGATGTTGGCAAAGGATTTGATTTCGAATGTTTTTAAACTAATTTCGTATTATATATTATTATATATATTTTATTACAAAATTAAATATAATAACTACAAAAAAATGTAAAAAAATACTGTTTAGCTAATATTTGGTAGCATAGCCTTTAGCATTCAACACTGCCTGACATCTGCTGCTCATAGAAGACACCAATTTTTTACCGACGTCTGTTGGGATATTTTGCCAAGTATTTTTTAAATAAAATAAATCGCTCCTATATTTAAAAGTTTTTCTTGTCAGTTGTCTTTTAACATGCTCCAAGACATGTTCTATCGGGTTTAGGTCCGGGGGTTGCAAAGGCCATGTAAGAACATTAACATTTTTTAGTCTTAACCAGTCCTTGTGTCTACCCTGTAGATTGTCATAAAACACTCTACATGAGTAGTCCCATCAAGTAATAGGACATCTATTAAATATTAGAGCCTCTTTGTCTTCATTTCTCCTTTAACAGCTGTGGATGCCTGTAAAACATGAAGGAAAATCCTCCAATTTGAAATTACTACTAGAGTCGCATGATTGCATTTCATGTAATACAATATTCACAGACCTGAGTTTTCTACTAGGTTTTCTATCTGTTGCAAGTGACTTCAATCTCATGAAACTAGTTTCTTCAGTGTTGAAGACTCCCCCGTGAAAATGTTTCGACAAAATTCTCAATCAAAAGACTGATAAAGCCGTTGGTGCAGTGTGTATCCTGTGCAGGAAACAGAAAAGAAATTAGTTTGGTGCAATTAATGAGAATTGATTTTAACTTTTTCATTTACATCGTTCGGCTTATAATCGGTATATGAGGACGATATAATTTTGATCAATAGATCTGGCATCGTTGCTTTGAAATTTCTACCATTGAATTCTAGCTCGTACCTTCACGTTTTTGAAGGTTCCGAGCAGGGGTATTATGTAAAATTCTTAGTGTAAAAAATATAAAATAACGTCAAATTATTCACGAAGTCAAATGAGGTAGCCGCTAGTGGACATCTAGTGCATACTGCTTATACTCGGTAGGACATGGAGTGAACAACAGCTAGTATAGTATATATAGAAAATATATAGAAAAAATATGACATTGTAAGAAAACTAATGCAACGTCAAAAAATTCGACGTAGTGTCAAAAATTCTTACTTGGTGTTACTTTTCAAAGGTACATAATACCGCTGTCAAACTTAAAACCTCCTTGTTGGACTTAACATATTACAGAATGTTTAGCAGATTTTCTAATTGGAAATAAATTTTGCAGGTGTAGTTCAAAATGCGCTGAAGCAGCATGACAAAGCTTTAGTGACACTCAACCAGGCGATAACGAATAATCCAAAGAATCCTCTCTGCAAGTTTCACAGAGGCTCCATATATTTTGCCTTAGGCAGGTATTCGGAGGCACTCAAGGAGCTGGAAGAGTTAAAGGAAATTGTACCAAAGGAATCTCTAGTATATTATCTAATAGGTGAGTTTATGCAAATTACTTAAGTAGCAGTTTCAACTCTGGTTAAAAGATAGTTCCTGAGCAAAGAAAGGGAGATTCTGGCATCGCAATTTTCGGTCCTGTTCTAGGATTGCTTAAAGTTATATATCTAATAAAGCGTTTCTGTAGAATAAGCATTTTTTTGAACAATTTTGGGAACAGACACACCAGGCAAAGTAACTGCTTAAGGCTGTGGGTTTTCCTACGTTGTAACTAATTATTCTTATAATAAATGAGATCTTTGCTAGTCTAACTCTCATGTGATATAACATCTGCTTAAGAGGTGGCGCTATTGGAGGACATTTATAGCTCCTTTGGCCTAAACACTTAATTTTACACTATACATAGCTGGAAGAAAATTCTGCAGTGCACAGTGATAATTAGTGTATTAATAATCTGTATTGATGGTATAGTTTTTGTTTATGATTAGTTAGAATATCCAGCAAAATGATATTAGAAATCAGAGCTTTATACTTTGATTAAGAACACCCATAGGAAGACTGACTTTGATAAGCAACATCCTCTGCTCATCATATTTGATTAAGGATATACATCTCAATGGGATAATGTTGTTATTTTTACAAGTATTTCAGTCGCAAAACCGACAAATGCTTTCAACTTTCAGTGTAGTTTCCACGAAACGATCATATACCGCCTCGCGCTAAGTCTTCTCAAATTACGCTAGGCGGTAACGTAATTAGTGCCCGCTATCATGAAACCCACAACTGAGCATGCGTATCTGTCAAAATAATGTGCCTAGAAAATACCCCAGCACGTTAAGTGGCATGCGAAAACTCCCTATTATATCGATCTTTTATGCAATACCTATGCCGGCAGGGACGCTCTTATGGGACACTGTATCCCAGCAGAGATTTGTGAGATTTTGTGCGTATCGAATCCTGGACAAACAGCGGCCAGGAAACGAAGCATTGGCTGCATAAATAATCGGTGATGATTTTTATCGTGCTAAAATATATTGCAGGTAAGGTGCACAAAAAGCTGGGCAATACGGATTTGGCGTTGATGCATTTCAGTTGGGCAACAGATCTCGACCCAAAAGGTGCTAGCAGCCAGATTAAGGAAGCATTCGAACCAGCTATGGGTAAGTAGTGTGCATCATTTACGTTTACTAAAAAATGTAACAATGGTAGATATATTTCTTTAGCATGCTTATCGCTTATTTTCAATTTATCACAAAATACGATGATGTTCTTTTTTTATCCTATTCTGTGTTGCTAACCAAAGACATGTTTTTGTATTATCTTTCAGACAAGACAGATACATTTAGTGAAATTGGAAATCCATATAGATTTTGTTGCGGATATTGTTTCAGTGCTTTGTAATTTTTGTTTCAATTTTCGTTCAATATCTCCCAACCCTCGTTTCAATCTAAACATTATGTGCTCTGTTCCAACATCTGAGCTGGCTGTATATATATACACGTATAAAAAGTCGATAAACAAACGATTATATGTTACATTAATTTGTGAAAATTTGGATAGACGTACAGTCAGCTTAGATAAAATTTTGTTTTCAGGTGACACTTCATTAGACGATAATATATCGCCTGCGTCAGATACACAGGTTGACAGATTGCCACGCATGCGGCTGAATTTTGATATCGATGACAGCGGTAGTGACACTTACTGATTTATTTGTGTAAGGTTCTAGAATATTATAGCTAATTTAGTATAGTGTCCAAAAAGTTCTATAGTGACATTAAATGAACCTATTATATTGTCTGAGAAGCCACATGTGTACAGCAAACACAAAAATACGCAAAAACCTTCCTTATCTACGCCTCTACTGCTTTATAATAAATTGAGTATTAGTTTTCAAACTACCTGGGACCAATTCATCGAAGCATCAGGGTCCACGATAGGGTTTTCAATCCAGAAAATAGTGCAAATTTTAAGTTGATCGCATCTATGATCGCTAACATTTTTCTGTTAATGCTTGATTGTTCTGTAAAAGCCCAAAGTACGCAGTTTTCGCATTTTTGTCCAATATTTACCGATTTACCAGTGGCGTAGCTACCTTGGGTGGCACCCGGTGCGGAAGTTGGTGGTGTCACCCCATCGAAAGTTAAAAGCAATACATTTTATATGATTTATAAACATCATGGATCATTTAATATATATATATATATATTTAAAATATTGAACACATAAAACAATAAAAACTAAGACAGAAAACATATTTTTATCTTACAACTAAAATCTCTTCTTTCTAGCTTTAAAAGCTGCAAACTCAGAAATAACCATCAAAATTTATATTTTGTATTGCCTCGTGTCGTTGGTGTTGGTGATGGCTAATACTCCAAGATTGCTAAGCCGCCATTGGGTGATTGTTTCCCGCAAATAGTTTTTTAATAATTTTAGTTTACTGAAACTCCTTTCACATGAAGCTACGGACACGCAAACCGCCATGAATAATTTTAGCGCAAGTGCAATAATAAGATTTGGAAGACATTCTGTAAAATCCCATTCTACAATAAACTTTAAAAAATCTAGAGATACCCAATCAGAAACTGTAACATTAGCTACTATTAAGTGTCTTCGCAGTCTTGGTATCTCCAAAAGTAATTCTGTTTCTGAGACCGTGTCTTAAAAATCAGTAAATTTGATTGTAGCTAATTTCAGTTCTTCAGTATTCGCCAAATGCAAAGTATTTGTTTGTACGATCTCGAACAATGAAGCTAGGTCTTGAAGAGACTTCGATCTTGTCTGGAGTTCAACTCTGAATCGGTCAAGATATTCCAAAATATCTTTTTGAAGTTCTTCTTTCAGTGCGAGTCCTGCATCACTGGCAATTTCACCAACCACCCGTTTTTTACGACGAAGTCGTCTTTTTGTTGGAATATCGTAGACTTCTGATTTTTTGAGGCAATATCTATTGTCTCTTCCACAATGTGACCGCGCTTTTCTTCGATATAATCTTCACAAAAAACAGAATTTAAGTTTCTAAAATATTAGTTTTTCTTTTTTATCACTACACGCTTAACAATTCACGCCAACCAAACACAACACAATTCACGAAATAAATGAGAAATGCAACCGAAACGTCAGGGATCACGACTATGGGAAGGGGAAATCCCACACGACTGCGCCGTGCGCTTTTGGGGGAATCCCTGAATTATATATAGAGCTGAGCTAGTGCTTGTGGAGGAATCACAGAAGAAGACAGCTATGCTAGTGATTTATTTTTTTATGTTTGTTCATTATTCTTGAAGTTGAGTCACCAAGTGGGTGTCACCCCAAAAATGGTGACACCCGGTGCGGACCGCCCCGCCGCCCCTACCTTGCTACGCCACTGACTACTACTACTATATATTTCGTTGCAAAACTTCCTGCTTCAAATGTGCGCCAAAATTTACTGAGGGATAAAATGTGTAAGAATGAAAGTTGAAACGAACATATTTGCTTTCCATCTCTGTAACCATGACCAACCGCAGACAGCGCTGTTTCGAACTCATCAGCGGTATATGTAAGGTCTAGTAGTCCTGGATACAGACGAATGGAAAGCAAATAAGTATGGTCTTGTGAAAAGCAAACATGTTTATTTCAACCGTGTCTATTTATGCATATATGCTCAGAAAACCTTTCTTGGCCTGCTCATTGGTAGGTAAGATCGTAACATTTCTCACCTACTTCCGTACAAGAATGGACACAATGCGTTACTGCCAACTTAGGGTTTTTGAAGAATAATCAAAATCAAAACTAAAGATCTTGACGGAAATTTAAAATAAACATGTACGCTCTGAAGTATTTGAATAGAAGAAATTCACAGATGCCATCATCCTAAAATTTGAGTCATTTCAGAGATGTGATCAAGTTATTTTTAGGGCTGAAAAACCCACTCATGGACCATAATCCTTTGATCTCTTTTTCAACTAACTCTGCTTTTACTCGAGGAAGTAATTTTTCCAGTCTTTTTGGATCATTATGAATAAAAAGTTTTTAGTTTTCAAGATAAAACCGATTTAGTATTTCAAAAAGTGCAAAACATGTCATTTATAACCCCGCAAAACAACATGAAAAAATCACCGACCACAAAAAAGTGTAGACCTATTGATGATTCATTCATATCATCAAAATTTAGTTGTTATACAAAAGGAGCATAAATAAAAAAATAAAATTATATGCATAAAGTGTACAGGGTGGCCAACTAAGAATGCGAGGTTCTGTATCTGGGAACTTATCCATGGTAGAGGCTTGTGGCAAATACTAAAACGGCCAGAGAAAAACCTGGAAAATACTTTCAAATGTCTGAAATGGCCGCGAATGTCAGCGAATTCCGCTATATTCAGCTAACAAAAAATACCTAAATATTTAGGCACTTTGGCAACACTTAAATTTTCGTGTTTTCGTATCGTTTTGCGAGATCAAGAATGGTAAATTATGCATTTTTTCAAATCCTAAATCGCTTGAATCTCGAAAAGTTAAAAAAAAAAATTGTTCAGAATGATCCAAAAATCCTAAGATCTGACGGAGCGAAAAGAATAATTTTTGAAATACTATAAAATTGGCCAAACAGTTTCTGGTGCAATTTTGAGCCTGGCAACATGCAGATTTGTTAGAAGGGGTTGTTTTTGAATAAGGTTAGCATTATACATCAGCACATTGTATTAATATTTCCTGGACTGTTTGTAAAGGGTTTTTCATTAAGTGTGTCAGTAATTTAAAATTGAATAAAACGAGTTGTGTGCGACATATGCGATGGAAACTTTAATTGCGTATTAAAGTACATTCAATACATTACGTTGTAAAAATTAAATCATTCAAATGGCGTCCGAGGCTTCGTTTACAGGACTGGATCCGAGAGGTCCAATTTTTTAAAACTCTGCTGCATAAGTCGGGCTGGATCTCACCAATGGTTTGAATGATGTTGTTCTCCAGTTGGTGAATTGTTGCAGGTTTGTTGCGAAAAACCCGTAACCCCTCAGAACAAAGTCTAAGGGCGTTAAGTCGCACGATCTTGGCGGCCCATTTCGCCTCTTCTGGAAATACCGTGTCCTGGAAACATTTCTTGTAACAACTGCAATGCAATGGCCGACGTGTGACACGTTACGCCGTTTTGTTGGAACCACATGTCGTTCAGGTCCATGTAATACAATTGAGGTCATAACAAATCAGTTATCATGCCCCGATACCGGGCCCGTTGACAGTCACCGTCTCGCCATACTCGTTTCGGAAGATGTACGGTCCAATGACGCCGCCTGACCAAAACCCGCACCAAACAGTAAGTTTTTCCGGATGCAATGGAGACTCTTGATACTGCTGTGGATTACTGTCTCGCCAAGTGCGACAATTTTGTTTATCCGCGAAGTCGTTTAACCAAAAAAGTGCTTCATCACTGAAAATGATTTTTTTGCCGAAATCTGGATCCGCTCCCAAATGTTCCAGAGCCCAATCAGCGAAAGTACGACACGCTTGGTGGTGTTGGGGCTTCAGTTCTTGCGTCAACTGGATCTTATATGGATACCTGCCCAAGTCTTTTCGTAAAATTCTCCAAGTCGAGGTCGCAGACAGGCCAATTGCTTGTGCACGACGCGGAATCGAAACGTTTGGGTCTTCAGCTACACTTTCGGCAACATCAACAATATTCTTGATTGACCGCGCGTTTCTGCGTCTTACAGGAACTGCTCGATCGGCAACCGAACCGCCTTGCTCGAATTTGGCGATAATTCGTTAAATTGTTCGCTCCGTGGGACGATTATTTCGGCCGTGAATATTTCGTAGCTCGCGAAAAGTTTGACGAATAGAACACGAATTTTTATAATAGATTTTAACAATTGCGACGCGTACTTACACAGTGTAGCGCTCCATGGTAAAATGGTGACTATGACATCGAGGAATGATGGCCGTGCCACCTGATACTTCAGAGCAAGATGTTGCCAAATTTCGAACATTTAAGCTATTGAAAAACCCTTTATATACAGTAAAGCACCGGCTATAGTCAAATACCAGAATTGATGACAGTAGCAGAAGTCATCGTGCGCCACTGCTTTGACGCTGTACCTTTTGATTACAGCGACGTTTACCGACATTTCACAAAGAAGCGCCGCATTTTCGAAGGCCTCCGCGTAATAGCAGTGGCGTACGATGAGTTTCGCTACTGTCATCAATTTTAGTATTCCACTATAATGAGAGTGCCGTTCATCTGGGACAGAAAACGCTAAACCTTTCAGTAAGAATTCTCTCAGATCACTATAAACTGAATAGGTATCCTCGTAACAGTGAAGAAAGATCCTAATTGCTCCTTATGTAGGGAGGCAAAATTACTCTGTGGTGTTCCAAGTTTGATACTTAACAACTTTTATTTTTAACATCTTGTATTCTTTTTCCAGGTCGTCCCCTATCGTACGACGGTGAATTCCTCGCATCTACGCCGGACGCGTGTAATGCGCCTGACAGATTGGTTGGTACTAGGCTGAATTTCAGTACCGACGACAGTGAGGATAGTTTTTAGTTTTCTTCTGTAGGAATCTATGTTGACGTTACATATTTGTGTCCCGCAAAATCAGAAATAACCGAGATCGCTTTAATTACAGGAGCAGGCAAGTGACTTAGCATCCAGGGTTTTGCTGACGTACGAAGAAACAATATTTGTCAAGGAAATTAGATGACAAGAGGTGTTTAGTTCATTTTGACGCGTACAGGGTGTCCCGCTATAAATTCAACGTCCCTTTAACAGTTAGTTTTATACAGACTTCGTAAGGTCTTTCATGCAATCTCTTTTTATGTACAGATTGCCACAGAAAAGTGCTATCGAATAAGAATGGAATACCCTGCATATTTTAGTGAAAATTATAGTTGCGTTTTTTCTGATTCCAAATAATATATGGTTTCGTATATTTATTTTCATCAAAAAAAAAAAAACTTAAATTTTATGTAACATTTATTCATGTCTATCCAAGTTCAAAAAAGTTTGCATCTAGCATCATTAAAATTATACGGGATGTTCCATTTAGAAAAATAGTTTTAATCGATAACACTTTCTTGAAACACCTTGTATATAAAACATACATTGCATGAACAATTTTACATTATACGTTTAGTTTTTCTTTATTTTTTCGACAATGTCAGAGGGGGGGGGGGTTCGAGGGGAGTCAGTTTCTAGCAGGATCCTATAAAACACTCTTTTAGATCAGTTTGTGTCGTTCCTAATTCATTATATCATTAATTGCTAGAGTCCGCTTCAGTTGTGACGAAAATTCTGCATGTGAGAATTTTATTTTAAATTTTCTGAATTTTGGTTAATTTCTGAGTTTGCGGCCTACTTATCACTTGACTGATTTCAATCACTTGTGTCGAATAAATATGAACTTACACAGGTAGCAAAGGCCATTTTTTGTTTCAGTAGATAAAGTAGATTTTTTTCGAGCAAACTCGTTTTTTGCGTGCACGACTTTTAAAGACAATAATCGTTATTTTATGGAAAAAATACGTTTTATTAACATCTCTTATTGGTACTATATGGTTATAGAAAACCGAAACCTAAGGCAGCTAATTTCTCCATTGTTACTCGTAAATGAGTTTTCATGCTCCTGCTAATATTTTGAAGTACTAGGATTGGAAATCATAACACAAATTTATTCTATGTAAACAAATAAGCATTAAATGTTTTTACTTGTTTTTACACTTTTCAAAGGCATGGTGTTATCATCATTTTGGGGTCTTTCAATGAAAAAATGCAACTACTTTAAGAAAAAACAGCAAAAACATGTCATCTTACAGGACTTTCTGCATTCTAGAAGTACTATAAATTGTTACAACATCTATCTTGATCGCAGAGGATCTGGGCTCGAGTCCCACGTGTGACATGGTTTTTTGTTGTCTATTTTGAATTCGAGTATGCGGAATCCGAGTAAAAGGACAATGTACTTTGATCATAAAAATTGTCATTTTGACATCGTTATTCGGGTGAATTCATTTTTTTAATAGTGCATCACTGTTATAGTTTTGTTCTACAGATATGCTAATCTTTATTTAGATATTATGTAGCAGAACATTCAAGTTGATTTTTTAATGTAATTTTATTACACAATTTACCTCTTGCATCCATGTAAAATTTTATACATTTTTTGTTTGCCTTTTACTTGATTTGTATTCGATAGCTGAAATGAGTGCTGATGATGATGAATTTAAAAATTCAAAGTATAATACTTTTTATTCAAGGTCGTATGTCACAAAGAAAATATCATTTCGAAAAAAAGCTATTTCGATTCAATGATTTTAAATGGAAAATACTCGTTTTGATATAAACAGCAGTTTTCAAGAAAGTCATGGAAAAAATGTTTTTAAACCTTGTGGTCTTGTATAAATTTTAACATTGAAACCTCAAAAAATAAATTGACTACCTCTGAGTACATACTTGTTGCAGGTTTTAAATGTGTGAGAATGGATTGCCTTAAAAAACTAATCAGTGGGGCTACCTTTCTTAGGTTTTCATATAAATTTTTCATACATACTCCAAATTTTCCGTTAAATGCCTCGTTACATTTTATCTGGAAAAGTTCTTAGTCGGATTGAGACTTACAAGTGCACATTTTTCCAATAGACTGGTGATGTAATTTTTTGTAAAGAGATTAATTTTTGTATTATATGAGTGACTATTGTATAATTTTGCTTTTGCTATGTAAATAAAATATTTATTAAAACTTTTATATTGTTTTCATGCTATCCTACTATCATTCTAAATACCCATAAAAGAAATACAGAATAATTTTTCGTATAAGTTGAAGCTACGCTGAAATGAGGTGTATGCTCGAAGCCCTGCGAGCCTTCTTTTTGTGTCGCTACCTGAGGATTTTCAAAATATTTCTCACAGGAGATTCTGCAAATACTGGCATGAGAGAAATAGTTCAGCTTAGAAATGAATTAAAGTCTACAAAATTTTGGTTATTTCTAAAAAGCCATTTACTCCAGCTAGTCGGAGTCGAGGTCACTGAGGACTTGATTTGGCATGAACACATCTCGTCAGCCGCAGCAGTTGCTAAAAAGCTATTCAATGAATTTAATTTTTCTTTTTACGGGGTGTTGAAGTTTAAAAATAAAAAACAATTGTTTTCATATCTTCAAAACCGTCAACTGGAATGAACTAAAATTTGGTAAGTGGATTTACCTAAGAATTGTCCACATTCAAAAGTCTGTACTTAAAACTAACGTGCACCAATATCAATCAATCAATATCGATAACCTTTATTTCCATACAGACAATGTATAATTGTATTGGAATTGTCAATTTTTCGTTCGCTACAAATCTACAACTAATCTCAAATTGCAATGTTCAAAAATTCATCAACACGATAAAAGCACTAGTTTATCAAAAATTGCTTCAACAATCTAACTTGAATCCCTTCTACAGTTTTTTGAGTATGATGAAAACGAATAAGCGTAGTTTTGGAAGGATTCAAGTAAAGTGAGTACTGGTTAAACCATGTATTGATATTCCTAATTAAGTTGTTACATTTATCTTCCAAAATTATATTTGAATTACTTGATATTATGGCAGAAACGTCATCAGCATATGCTGTAAAATGGGTATCTGGATTCACATTATCAAACTGATTAATGTATAAGAGGAAAAAATTGGTCCAAGAATAGAGCCCTGAGGGCTCCAATCGCGATGTCTAACGTACTTGACACAAAGTTTTTCATACTGTTCCCTGCATCAAGATATTCTACTGAAACATATTGTTTTCTTTGGACTAAAAGCGATCGGGCCCATTTAAGAGACTGACCGACAAAACCATATTTAACAACAATCTCCAGTGGCGGAGATGGATTCGTGGCATTATATTTCCAAATAAAAATAGTGCGCTACTGTTTGTTTTTTCGAAACGCGCAATTTTTCTAATTTTACCTATGATTTGCTTCAAATACTTACTCTTGTTTTTTGATAGGGTTCATTGTTTTCATAAAAATAAAAAAAAAAATAGGTAATCAAAGCTTTATTTCAATAAATTTTACAAAAAGACCACCATTCTGATGGCATCATTTTAATAAAGGAAAACGTATACTAGCCGGCAGACCTGTCAACGCCTGAAGCGCGAGACTTCATTGGTCGGGATTAAGAGTTTGATTTCGAATTCATTTGTTTTAAACGGTCAGCTGTCGCGATTTTTATATATCTCACCGGTCTTTCTCGTTTCGGAAATATTGTAATGTTACTAATTTTGTACGAAAATGATAATCGTAGTCGATAAAATGTGTTGGCGAGGTGTGAATTAAGATTTCGGGAGTGATTTTCATGTGCGGGACGGTTGGTTTGCGTGAAAGTGATCATGGAAGAGAGCTCTGTTTGTGTAACGGTAGAAGAAAGTTATATGGAAGAGACGCGAAAGAACTGGAGCAAGCTCCGCTGTATACCTCTTCAGTACAATGGCAGGAATCGGGGAACAGAAGCTTTGTTGATGTCGAGTGACAAGAGCACCCGTCTTACGGTCTTACCTGTATGTCTGAATGTTACTTCCCGCATAGTGTAAGGAACCCTTTGAATCGACGGCACTTGGGAGTTGAGGGGGGACGTCCATGGTGGAGTTGGCAGCAAAGATCTTGGCAAGCACTTCCGCCTTGGCCTTTGAGTCTGTTACAATCGTTCCATCCTGACACGTAAGTGGTGTAAGGCTACTCTGCGAAAAGACAGACTGCCGTTGCGGTGCGACATTACCCTGTGCCTAATTTGTATATCGTGCTGGTCTTTGGCATTGCGAACCGCTTGGTTATATTTGTTTCTGGATTCGAAATCGGCTTGTCTGTTCTCTACAGTGGGGTTTTGTAAGAAGGTTCTGTGTGCCTTGATCTTCTGCTGGCGAGCAGCGTCACACGATTTGTTAAACCAGGCGTTGGACCCTGGTCTAGGCACTTTCACTGTGTGAGGGATGTATTCCTCTATTCCGACGTGGATAATTTCGGTTATTGCAGAACAGACAGCCGACGCATCCGCGTCAGTGAAACAGACATCTTTCCAAGGAAAGCTAGAGAAGAAATCTCTGAGCCCCTCCCAGTCGGCATGTCCGTAATGCCAAGTTTTGCGGCCTGTACGAGTTTCTGCTGCCACAGCGGGTTCTGACCGAAACCTAACCTCCACGACACCGTGGTCTGAGTTACCCAGGGGGGACAGGACACAGCAGTGCTGTAAGGGACAGGATGCGTGGTCAGAAAGAGATCCAGCAGGCTACTGGCGTGTGACGAGGTGCGGGGGAAAAAAGTAGGGCTCGTCACCAGCTGAGTCAGTCCTTGGGTAAGAGCGAACGCTTCGACTGCACAACCTGCTGCGTCGGTCTTGTTTGAGCCCAACCAAAGCTCATTATGGTCATTGAAATCTCCGAGAAGAAATACCTCTGAAGCGGGATGATTGATGTTCAGGAAGTCGATCTGGACTGCGAGGTATTCGAGTAGGTCATCTCAGTTATGGTCCAAGGGAAAGCGATAAAGGCAGCAAATAAATTTGGGTGATGTTTCATCATTAATTTCTTTGTTTTTGAGGATAACCGACTGCATAGCTTAGGTGTGGAAACATGCGCACATTTATAAGAGGAAAAGCTCTGCCTCGGTCGACTGGTCATTGTCTACCACCTTTTTTTTACGTGTTAGTGATGTTAAATAGACCTAAAGTGGCCAGTTGGCAGACTTGTACCGCCACCCGGCAATCGGTACTGAGGTATTCCTTAACGCGTGAACAATCACTTGAACGGGAAGAAGTTGTATACTGGATACAACATCTTCCGGAACAAGCATTTGCCACGGCCCCACTCAGTCGTTGGTAAACTTTACTGAAAACCTGTCCTTATAATATTTAATAAATAAGTTTATTCATCAAATCAAGCTAAACTGCTGGAATTGTTACTAGCATTACACATTTTTGACCTTTGGAGGTGATCTTGATCTTGGATCTTTATACACATTCCTGAAATTTTCTGTTTTTCACCGATGTCAAAAAGACACCTCCCCATTCAACAAACAAAAGTTGACCTTATAATAACCTTGGAGAATGAACTCCTTGTTTCAACTTAATATAGACATTTTATAGATGTCTGGCCTTGACCTTTTTCAAAAATACCTTATCTGGAAGAGCACAGAGCCATTGCGTTACTTTTTTCTTACACCCGCAGAGGTATTGCGTAAAAAATTCTTATAAGTTTTGTTCGTACAGCAGTCGCCAACCTCTCAGTGACCGTGTCCCAAACTGTAAGAGATGCGAAGACGTTCAAATGGGGACAAAGTACTTCCGGAGAGAGACGGAAAAAGCCCAAAATCATTTTAATATTTTCTTGACCTTATTTGTAGAGGGATTTCAAAATAACTTGCACACTAACATTTTTCCTGCTCTACTAGATGACATAATTAGAATTTCAATATGAAGTTTCGTCTCTTGTCCTCCAGCATCAACTTTATTTCTTCTTATGGACGCCACATTGGATTTTTGCATAGATGAATAGAGTTTTTAATTCTGATTCCAAAAATGTATCATACGGCATACATTGCTATTACCAAATTTTAATTAAAAAAAGCAGAATTTTCTAGGTAGGCCTTGAAATTACCAGAATGTCATTTGTTTCGCATACCAGATTTATCCCAAAATCGCTTTTATTTTTTTTGACTTTATTTCAGATGAGATTTCAAAATAAATTGCATGTTGTCGTTGTTACTTATTCTCCTCTACAAGATGGTATAATCAAATTTTCAATTTTTCGACTTCCATCACCAACTATGTTTTATCACGCTATCTTGGAATTTTGTACATTGAAATGGATCTTTTAGTTCTAAATTCAGACAAGTACTTCCTTAGTTGGCCATGAATTTGTGGTTGGATAAAATTATAAGGAATTAAAAAGGTATGATAAAGCCTGAGCACAGCATGGACATTTTATTGATGGTGATAACAATAATAATCATAAATAAACAGAGGTACATGATAGCAGATGTTTAAAATGATCGTTATTGTGTAGGCAAAGCCTGACTCTTTTCTGTACGGTGTTCACTGCTCGATTTGTTTCTGTTCTTCAGAGTCTTGCAAACTCGGTTGCTATGTAAAATTTGAGGTCTGGTCTGGTATAAGAAACAAATGAAATCCGATAACAATAAGGCCTACCTAGGATCATCAGTTTTTCTGGAATAACTAATGCCCGGCAATGTCAATGATACATTTTTGAAATCAGAATTAAAAACTATTCATCTAATTATGCCATCTCTTAGAGGAGAAAAAGTGTTAATGTGCACTTTATTTTGACATCCCACTACAATTAGAGCCAGGAAAAAATTAAAACAATTTTGGGAAAATTCGGATTTTTCCACCTCTCGCGGGAAATACTTTGAATTTCGAGCCTTTTTAAGCGGCATTTTGTTGATTACCTAAATACGGAACTTTGCACCTATTCAAGAGACTTCATATACATTTTTTTTTTGTATACATTTTCCGAGATGGTGAGGGTCGAATTTGAAACACCCTTGATAGACGAATTCACACGGCGGGATACCAGACACAGTCGCCGACGACTGTGCGAACAAGCTTTTTATGTCATTAAAAACCCGAATGATGTGAACTTGTGTACTAGCAAATCGCTAGTCCGACCTATAGTATAGAATTAGAGAAGCTGTTAATGCACTCCGCTAGTGTCATCTCTGGAGCAGA